TGAACAGGAGCCATGGCAGATTTTGTCTGTGATGTCTTGGGGTTCAGGAAAGAAAGTTTTGAACTAGAATCTGCCAGGGAGCTTCCCTCAATTGCATAGTGAGGATTTATTATGGGACATGAGGGAGTCACAGAAGCGGGAACACAATGATGAGGCCAAAGTTATTGTCTCCAGGACATGTGACAGTGTCAGCAAGAGGATCCACGTGAGATAAATAGTGCTGGCAGGAAGTGCCACCTTAAACTTGCTTTCCTAGTGACTTAATAAAATATCTGAGGGAAGAAGACTTCCAGATACATAAAAAGCAAATTTTAAATGATTCAGTATCAACACAGTTTTTTTCAGCAGCCTCATGAACATTTGTACAGTATTTTATTTATTTTATTTCAAGTACACTATTACTCCAACTAGGAGAAATGCTTTTACGTTTAGTAGATTAAAAGTATATATTCCTTTTGCTCTTATCAAATGACTGGATGATATGCAAAATTACAGGAAAATGCTATTATTCTGAGCATTGCTGCTCAGTTGTTTCCATGTGCATCATTAATAGTTTCTTTCACATTGGAGTTACTGGAGTTCAAATTACTCATTAATTTACAAAGTATTTTTAGATCTTTTAAGTGTGGTAAAGTTCTGCAGAAAGTTAGGTTCTGATTTTACCTTTTGAGAATATTTTATATGATTTTATTTATAATGAAACATTATAATTATTTAATATGGGGGAATTTTTATAAAACAAATCCATAGCTATACAAAAGTATAGATTTAAGAAGGTCTATGCAGAGATTTTTCTAAAACTGTGTATGTACTGAACTAGAATAGGCCAATTCATTAGGAAGTCTTGTAAAACCTCCACTCAAATACGGCTTTTTATTTAATAATCACTTTCTCTGACATTAATGAGCATGATAAAAGCAAAGTAAGAGCTCTTACGGGTAGAGATCAATATCATAAACCTTAAAACATGTTTCTTGCCCTTTAAGTAGTGTCTGGAGACAGAAGAGATGGTTAAAAGGGTTGGCCAGTCTTATTTATTAATGAATTTATTGAAAAATATGTTATTCATAATGTGACAGTTACAAATTAAAAACAGTTATGTTTTTAATTCAGTTCCAGTAGGTTAAGGCATTTCTTTATGTTACATATTTTAAAATGTAAATGCTTATTCTGAACCTGAAGTATTTTATTCTGTTGTGTGTGTGTATGTGTGTGTGTGTGCCAGGAATGTGAGTGTGCTCTCAATTGTTGATGCTCAGTGCTTATTATCAACAAAAAGCAATAAAAAGTGCTAACCTAGTTAAAAATCAAACTGTGATATCAACATGCACTTTTGAGAAGAAAGTCTCTCCACTATGTAATTATTTGTTTTCTCCCTACAGTTTTCCAGACTTCAGATGTCAAATAAACACATTATGAATTAGGAATTATATCAGAAATGTCACATTAACTATTCAAAGAGAATTATGCAGTTATCATTTTGGGGGAATGATTTATAAAAGGGACCTATCATTTTTGCAATCCCATGATCTTTTTTAATTTTTAATGCCAATAATTTTCAATTACTAAGTATTCCCACATGATGTTGTCTCAATATCTCAGAGACATGATCTTTCCGGTCCAAGATTTGGAGTTCAGTTTTTGTTTGCTTATAACCCATTTATTACACAAATGTGATCATGCTTAGTTTTTTGGGACTGATGAACACAGTTTGGGGGCAATTCTTACCGTAACTGCAGGTCCAGCAAAAGCCAAGCTAAGCAACATGAGGAATGGAATTGCCTCTTGCGTTGGTTCAATGTACGGCATGCTAAGGCTCCGGTCATAGCAGCTAAATCCAGAGTGCACAGGTGTGAAGACATCCGTGAGTTCAAGGAAATACAGGCTGACCACCGATGATGCCAATATAGGCAACTGAGAATGAAGGACATAGGAGAACAATTTATTCTTGTATGCTGGTCATACATAGAATCAGCACATCTTTAAGTGCAAACCAATGGATATCCTCCCTTCTCTTACACTCCTCTCCAATCTCAGAGTTAAAGTCATTCCTAAATACTATTGCTTCTGTCTTTAAAATATATTTCCAGTTCATCTACCTGTCACCAGCCTGCTCTGAGCCCATGTCCTCCCTCACCTGTGCTCCTGGATTACCTCCTAACTGGTGTTCCACTTCCACTTTTACCCTCTGCTCCCATTTTCCACCCAGAAAACCAAGAGGTCTTTTGAAAATATTTGAGATCCTATCATTCCCTCTCTTAACTGCACCAGTGGTTCTCATTCTACTTGAATAAAATCCAAATGTCACATCATGGCATGCAAATTTCTGCACGAACTGGCTTTTGCTTCGATTTCCTACATTTCCTTGTACCACATTTATGTCACCCCTGCCCACTACAATCCAAGCCCTTGATCTGTCCTCCCCTCTCTACCTTTATCATATTGCTTCCTTTTCTTCATGGCACTTATCATTAACTGATATAATCTTGTCAATTTAATACTGGACATACTTACTTTTTTGTACATCTCCCATCTCCCCCTGAAATTTATGCTTCATGAAGTGAGTCTGCCAGTCATTTATTGCTGAGTCTCCAGGGCATAGAATTGTCCCTGGCACATGGTAGCATGCAGTACATTATTTAACAATTTAATAAAGCAATAACTACTTGTTAATGAATGACTAATTGAATAAATGAGTAAATCTTAATTTATTACAGTAACTAGACTAGAGTTACTGGATTTAGCAAATGAAAATACAGGTCACCCAGTGAGATTAGAATTCCATATAAGCAACGAATAATTTTTAGTATACGTATGTCCCAAGCAATATCCAGGAGATATTTATACTAAAAATTACTTGTTGTTTGTCTGAAATTCTAATTACACTGGATGTCCTCTAGTTCATCTGGTAAACCAAAACTACATGCAATTTTCTTTGTAGACTGTGTTATCGATTCGATTATTCATTCATTCATCCTACAGCCTGCCGGGTATTAGGTGGGTGCTAGCTATAATACAGTGAACAAGGCACGAGCTTGGCCATAGAGGATCATAAGATCAGTAAAAGACCTGATCTCAGCTAAAGAGATGATACTGCATATATACATTGATGCTAGACCATTCAGAGTCTGAAAATGCAGACTTATATAATGCATATAAAAGAACTATTTAGTTTAAAGGTTTGTTACGTGTGGAGGATACCATATATATTTAACTAAACAGAGTAGGTTTTTGATAAAAACATTACTGAACATCCATGATTTTCAATTGTTTGGCTCAAAAATAAACAAGTTTACAAAACAGCATTATGCTTTGTATTGCCAAGAGGTCTCTTTGTAATGAGGTGAGAATTAGGTGTATTAGAAAAATTAATAACATATAGAGATTAATCTGGCATGATCTTTCTATTTTTCAGATGGATGCTTTTCAATAAAGAGAATAAAATGTACGTGAAAACATGTATTTCTGTTATTAGAATTGTTATTATTTTGTCACTTCAAATATCTGATCATTTCTCCTCACTGCTCCCCACTTTTGTAATGAAGGAATAGTAGCTTTCAGTCTTGACCAATAAATCAGTTTTTCATCCTGTATATGCATGATTTAGATTTTCCACTTACATAAACTTAAATATACTTTAGTTTTAGTTTAACAAATGCTTCAAATAGGACTTACTGTGTGCCAGACACTTTGTTTTAGAAATTTTGATTTTATTAACGAATTTTAAGTTATAACTTTATATCAAATTTTCTGTTATGATATAAAATAGGTGCTATTCTTCTCCTCATTTTGCAGGTGGGTAAACCCAGTATAGTAAATGGCAGAGGTGGGTTTTGAACCCATGAATTGTAGCTCCAAAGTCTTATTTCTTAATGACTATTCAATGTTTCCATTTAAAAATATGGAATAGAATTTCAGGTCAATGAAATACAAGTAGCATCAATTAATGGGGGTAGCTTCAAGTTCTGTTTAATTAAGGGCTTCTATTTACAAACCTTTAGTTAAAAATAAACATCACTTAGCATAAATAAACATTATCTTAAAAGTGTGGTTTTCATAAATTCAGAAAAAGTTCTTCATTAATTGAAATGTTAAATATTTTGCTCTTAAATCGAATTTGATAATATACCATCTTTCAAATTTTCTTGATGCCTTTAGTTCATATTTCTATATGAACTATAATTCTACATATATTTTGTAAATGGGAATCAGATCTGAGGCCTTTGACACCCACCTAAATATTATCTGCTTGTCTCATTTAAAAAATATTATGCCCCAGTAAAGTGAGTTTCATGTCTGCAGCAGAAAGGTGGACAAAATTTTATTAACATTACTAATCTGAAAATTAAGTAGATCTTCCCTAGTAGAGACATTGTTTACCAGTTTTGAGACTGTTCAACTGGGCTGTGAAGAAATGGCTATAGAATGAAAGCACATATCCTATAGTTGTGCATTGGTGTGTTTGTGCGTTACTGCATATGTTTCTGTGTAAATAGCGAAGGAGACTCAGAATTCAACATACTGTAATAAAACCAATGGAGTTGTACGGTTTTCAGGGTTAATTATAGGAGGTCCTAGTATCAGCTCTCCCACTTCCTACCAATCATGTGAACTTGGAGATGCTTCACTTACATCTCAGTTTTCTTATCTATAAAATAAATACATGGATAGTACCCATCTGCACAAGCAGTTGAAAAGATTACATATAGTATTGCAAGTAATATTGAACAATATCTGGAATGAAGAGTAGTTCATAAGTGTTAGTAAGTATTGCTGTTGCTGTCATAACTACTACTAATAATATACTCACCAAATGTTACCTTTTTCATAATGCCTTACTTGGTAATCCCTTTTGAAAGTAATTTCCTCACTCTTAACTCTCTAAAATTTTCTAAATGCACTTCTTTTCAGGAAATTTTTATACACTGCTCTTTTTTATAATTACCTGCTTTTGGTTAGTTACAGCCTTTGCTCTGCTTCCCAAATGAAAATCTCCTTTGGTTAGGGTATTAATCTTATTAATTTCTATTTTTTCACCAACAGTATACATTATAGTGTCTTCCAAATATACATATGCATATATATACATATAATAAATTATATATAAAAAATATAATAAGTTAATATATGAATGAAAATAATTTCCTTTACTAATATTCATTTTAGTCCTTTAAGATATTAGCCTTCTTGAAACTGCCAATTTTTCCAGTTAACCACTTTCATTCATGTATTAATATCTTTCAAATTCCTATAGAAACATATTTTAAGACCTTCATTTGTTTTCAAAGAATCATAGTTTACATCCTTTTTAATATTTGTTTTTCTGATTTTTTAAAAAAGATCTTTTACTCTTTTTCTTTTACACTAATTTTGTTTTCAAGCAAGAGTGATTTGAACAAAATATTTACAATATTTGGGAAAAAAGTAATTACATATATTGTTTTCCTATATTGAATTTTACTACCAGACAGTGTAATGAATTAAAATTATAGTGTTTGCTTCAAGCATACTTACCTTCACAGTTATCTTTCATCTTTTGAAATGCTCATCAACATTACTTTCTTTTGAATGTAAAAAATTTAACAGGTGACTGTGCTAATTTTGGCATAGATAAAGAATTGATATATACATAAGGAAATCACACAGACCTCTCTAGATTGTATCCAAATGTGATTTTAAAAAAAGATTTTAAAAGGTCTATATAGTCAGGCACTAGGAGTTTTATTCTCTAGTTATGTTTTAGCCAAGAAAAAATGTGAACCACACTATTTTTATGCAGCAGTACAGAGGATGGAAATTATCTAAACACTAAGAAAGTGGTTTTCAAAAAGGAAAGATTGATTCTTATAGTTACCATCTGCTAAGGAACTTGTGAGTAAATATACTAGGATAATTTTTAAAGAAAATCATAACTTCTGAGGACTGGGAAAACAAAAGAAGAGTGTTTCAAAAGATTACATTTGCTAGATAATATTGATTTTTCTGATGCCAATTAAAAAAAATTCTATATTACATACCCGTTCTAGTGAAACATTTTATGGAATCTGTCATGACATTTTATCTAGGTCATAGAGCTTACTTGCTTTTAGCATGTTGATAGTAAGAACACACTTTACTTGTGATTTGGGAGAATTCACTTTTCTCTCAGCCTAGAGCAATACAGGTTAGTTCCATTCTTTTCCTTTTTCATGACGATCTTGACTTCAGAGTCCTGTGAGATCCTCTTAAACTGGTGGGATCATAGTCACAAAGGGTCAGTGAACCTATGTGATATTGATGGCTCATTTAATTATTTATTCATTCAACAAATGTCTATTGAAAGTCTTCTAGTGCTAGGCCTTGTGCTGTGTTCTGGGAATACAGATGTAATAAAACAAAGTCCTTATAAATATTTCATTCCAGCAGGGGAAGGCAGGTAAGAATTTGAGAATTACAATAGTAGAAAGAATATATACTGTAAAGAAGATAAAAGAGAGGGCTGTGGTAATTGGGTACCTGGATTGCTATTTTCGATGAAGGAAGACCTACCCTAGGTATCACTTAAGCAGAGACTTGAAAGGGCAAGAAAGAACTAGCCACTTAAAAAACAGGTAAAAGACATACTCAAAAGAAAGAAGTGATATAAGATGGAGTCAAAGAGTTGGATTTGGGATGAAACTTTGCAGAGAATTAAAAGACCATGGCTGGAGTTAATATTTTATTCCAAGTACATTTGGAAACACTTTGGAAAGTTTAAGCAGAGGTGTAAAAGACTTGAACTGTGTTTTACAAAGATCACTCTGGCTGTTGAGCTGAGGATTGAATGTAATGGGTCACAAGTAGACAGAGGGTGGAAATTCAGAAGGATCTTCAAAATTCAGCAGATGCTTTTTGAATACCTAGAATGTGTTAGGCACTGCTCTAAGTGTGAGAAA